CCCTTTTCACACCCTCTGCCTTGCAGAGAGCACTTGAATCCACTGCTCACATTTCCACAGGCAGTGTGTCCCAACCAGGATGCAGATTCCTTCCCAGCGCTGTGCAGTGCTTGCTCTGTTGGCAGCGTGCAGACAGGTAGCTAGAGCACAGCCAGGTGATGACATATGCCATGCCCCTACCACAATGCCACCAGCCATTCACACCTCCTGAGGTAGATATTCTGCCGTTTCCCTTCCTCCACGGCAATGATTACAGCAGAGGCCTCCAGCTCCTGCCTCTCTCCAGGTCCTACTGAGATCACAGCTAGCTGTGGGTGGGATGCTGCATCCCTCTCTCACCCTTATGCAATGGGCTCACTTACTATCTTCACAGAAAAGAGGGAATCTGGACCAGGCAACGGCTGACATTTTCCAATGCATCTGTGTACTCCAAGCGCCCAAATCAGGTGAGCCACTTCATCACCAGCTTGGGATACCTGGATCTGGTGTTCAGATGTCCTTCTGAGTTCCCACTACTTCCCTCAAAATAAACCCAGTTGTGGTTCTGAGTAAGTGGTTTGTTCCTATCACCTTTTTCCTGATTTTCCCCCTTAAAAAGGCCCCTTCCCTCCTCCTCCTTTCTTTCTGCTGTGCTTGCTCCAGTCCTCGGTCGTGGTGGTTCACTGCAAACTCACTGCAGTCCCATGTATCCCATTGTTTGCACCTTTGACGCCTCCCTCCATGGGCAATCTGCTACACCTGTTCTGGGGGCTACAGTGTCCCAGGCTCCCAGCCTTGAACTGGCACTGACCGCGGATATCGAGCCCCGCGACCCTGTGCCCAGTGCATTAGATGGGGCAACTACAAATGACAAAGGCCCTGCTTTGCTGCACATTTCCTCACTGCTCCTGCTACGCCCACACCTACCCCTGCCCTTGGCCCCCAGAGCACATCAGTGATGCTCACCAGAGTTGCAGTACCATTTCCATCGCTCCAGGTTTGGCCCAGAGCAAAGCTGGTTAAAGATGACAGGCTGCCAACCCATCCCTTGTAATTTCCTGCCTCTGGTTGGCTTGTCACATGTTTGATCTTTATTAAATCTCCCTGGGGCTTGATCACTTGGAATTTCCTTGTCCGAGACAGACTCCACCTCGGCAGTTCTGGGTAAGCATCCAAAGTGCATTTGAGGCCACTTGTGCTTTGTTCACCGCAGGCACCACGCAGGTAGGATCGACACCAGCCCCAGATACGTCAGAGAGCAGGAGATTACTGGATGCAGGCCAGGCTCTGTGCTCCCGTCAGTCCAGGAAGAGGGGACCCTCATATACGGCTGCAAAAATCACGCCAGACTGAAGGAGCTGCTCTGTGATCCTCCTTCTGCCCCCAAGAAGGACAGTGGCTGTCACAGAGCAGTGCACAAAGCCGGACTCCTCTGGTGCTGTTTGCACCTGGGGGATTTCACCTTTACCTTATGACGGAGAGTCTGCAAGCACCTTCTGCTCCCTGTTCCTGCACCCGGCCTGTCTGCTCCACAACACAGTACACCCTGTGACTCTGGCAGCCTCCTCAATGTGCTGCTGGCAAACCTGCTGGCCTGGACCCAGGCCAAGTCAAAGCAGCAGTGCGCTCTCTCCAGGTCACTGCAATGCATTGGATAATCGCACCGTCAGCCAGCAGTAGGGGTTTTACACCGTTCCTGGAGGGATCCAGACTCAGGCTAGCCCTGGAGGGAGGATACTAAGGTTCACATCAGACATAGCAGAACCTTTCTTTTACAACCACAAATGTCTTTCTCTAAAAAGCAGATTGTGATGGGTTATATAAGCCCCCAACAAAGAGTTCACGTGAGAGCAAATAGCCTCCCCAGCTGTGACTGAAGAATGAGCTGGAACCAGCTGTTCCAAAAGGCTGCAGGCAGGCAGCAGCAGGTGGGGAGGATACCAGAAGAAGTGCCACAGCTGCAGGCTGGGAGGAGGACTGAGGCCAGAGATGCCATCACATAGCAATTGCCAGGGATTATTACAGTGGTTCTCAATCTTGTTGGACTCAAGGCAACCTTCGTTACACTCAAAGCGTCCCTTGGAAAATGCCAGCTCTTAGTTTTCACTCGGTTTTTGACTATGGAAAAATAATCGTGCAATTTTGGGGAGTTAACACATCAAAATGATTTTAATACAATGGATTTCTATTTGAAATCTCTAGGTATATCTTGTGGATCAGATCTTGTGGATTCACGGTTGCGTCTGCTATCATCCTGTCTCTCCTGGGGACGTGCTGCTGTGGAGATTGGGAAGTCTCTCCGGGAGTGTCTGCACTGCTTATGCAATGCTCTGGAGAGCACAACCTAATAGTGTTAACATTGCACGGCACCTTGCGGCACCATTGAAAGGATCTCAAGGTACCCCATGGTGCTGCCGCACCCTGGCTGAGGATCACTGGATTATAAGAACAGCCCTTAGCTGGCTATGGCAGGGCCCCAGAGTCAAAAGCCAGAGCAAAGAGCAGGCCTGGGTTCTCCTTCCCCCTTTCTGTCGCCTTTCAGCGACAGCCCTGAAACTATGGGCCAAGAAGGAAAGAGCTTCCTATCAAAGGAAGGGACCAGAGATCAGACATGCAGCCTCCTGGGGTTTGATTTGATCTTTCTGGTGCTCCCTAAGCAGCCAGACCTAGATGGTGCTGAAAGGAAGGGACAGAGGTGGTGATTCTGTTTCAAACCAGAACGGAGACAGCCATAGACATCGACTGCGGCCTCTAGCAAGGATCAACCCCAGGGATGCTGTGTCTCGGGGGTGCCCTGACACAGTTCCCTTGCTGGGCCTCAGCAGAAGGACAAATGCCAGGGCTGCCCCTGCATTGCAGGAGATGAATGACCTAACCTTGTTTCTTTCTAGGACTAGGTCACAAAATGCTTAGATGCAGGAGTTAAGGTGGATGTCATCAACTTGGATATTAAAAAGGCCTTTGATACAGCATTGCATCCCATTCTTATAAACCAATTAGGCGATTGTGGCGTAGATCTGCCACCCACAGGCAGGTGGGTGGAGAATTGGCTTATGGGGTGCATGCAGGGGGAGGGTCGTTTTCAACCTGGAAACTGGAGTTCCCCAGGAGTTTGGTCCTTGGACCACTGCTGTTCAATATCTTCAGCAGTGACTTGGATGAAGGCATGTAAAGCTCACTGTCCAAATTTGCAGACAACACCAAATTATGGGGCAAAGTAAACACCCTGGAGGGTAGGGAGCGGATTCAGGTGGATTTGGACAGGTTGGAAAAGTGGGCAGAACAGAACAGGATGCAGTTTAACAAAGATGAGTGCAAAGTGTTACATCTAGGGAGGAGGAATCACCAACATGCTTACAGGCTGGGAGGTGACCTTCTCAGCAGCACAGCAGCAGAAAGGGATCTCGGAGTCATAGTTGACTCCAAAATGAACACGAGTCGTCAGTGTGACGAAGGGATGAGCAAAGCCAACCGCACTCTTTCATGCATTACCAGGTGCATCACGAGCAGGTCCAAGGAGGTGATGCTCCCCCTCTATGCGACATTGGTCAGGCTGCAGCTGGAGTACTGCGTCCAGTTCTGGGCACCGCACTTCAAGAGGGATGTGGATAATCTCAAGAGGGTCCAGGGGAGGGCTACTTGTAGGGTTATGGGCCTACAGGTAAGATCCTACAAGGAGAGATTGAAGGACCTGAATCTCTTCAGCCTCCACAATATAAGGCTGAGAGGGGATCTTGTACCTGTCTACAAATTCATCGGGGGGGCAGCAAGGAATAGGGGACACTCTGTTTACCAGGGTGCCCCTTGGGGTTACTAGGAACAATGGCCATAAACTGACGGAAAACAGATTTAGGTTGGATATTAGGACAAATGTCTTTATGGTGAGGGTTGCCAGAATCTGGAATGGGCTTCCAAGGGAGGTGATGCTCTCCTCTACCTTGGGGGTCTTCAAGAGGAGGCTGGACAAGCACCTGGCTGGGGTCATCTGACCCCAGCGCTCTTTCCTGCCCAGGCCAGGGGGTTGAACTCGATGACCTACTGAGGTCCCTTCCAACCCTACCAACCATGAAATCTATGACCTGCAGCCCTTCACCGTGTGTCATTCAGGATCTAACTGAGTGTCCAGCATGGGGCCAGACAGAAGTGTCTGCCCAAATGCACCCTGGCATGGAGCCTGCCTTCTTCTTCCTCCAAGCAAAAAAGTTATCTGTCAGGACCGTGCAGAGGCAGGGGAGGGCTGTGCTTCTTGGGGGATGCTCTGCAGAGCATTGCAGAGGCACGGCAGACACTCCCTGAGAGACCCCCCAGTCTCCACAGCAGCATGTCCCCAGGAGAGGCACAGTGATAGCAGGCAGCCAGGAAACTGAGAGCATGGACCTTGCTTCCAGGGGAAATTGGAGACGCTCCAGCTGAGCCTCCTTGCAAACCAAAAGCAGAACCCACCATTTGAACCAGGCTTTCCCACAGCCACTGCACCCGCTCTGCACAGTCATTCACAAACCACAAGCCCTGCACTTGGAGACGGAACATCGTCATCTCTTAATTAATGGGAAGCACTCAGACATTGTGATGAGAGATAAATGTTCCTAGGGCCCTTCAAGCATATCCACCCGGTGCACAAAAAAGGCTTTCAAACACTTATTTGCTGAATCATTAAATCCCACAGGACTGAGCAGGCTAAAGTACAGAGTCTTGCAACAAGGCTTTAGATAACCAACAAGAGTCATTAGTGCTTAAATTAAGATAATCCTCTTATTTGCAAAGTTGCATTTATCACTTGTAAAGTGGCAGGGTGTCCTTTAAACCTGCCCAGGAACACACCTGCTTCTTGACTAAATTACTTAAAAGCATACTGGCCACAAAAGCAGCTCTGAGGTTAGTGGGGGCGAGGGGGGGTGCAATTCCAACTGAGTGGTGTGATTACGTGCATCTGTTCCCTGAGTCCAGTGCTTGAATGGGGTCATTAAATCTTGGCCTGCAGAACAAGGCACTGCCAAAGGTCAACACTCAGGCTCTCCTACCTCAACAGAGCAGCACTTGTCACATTTGCAGGGATCTTGCCAGGCCAGTATGCCAGTGCTGGAATGCGATGTCCCCCTTCCCAAGTGGTTTGCTTTGCTGAGCTCCCACCTGTAAGAGAGAGAGCATGTGTTCAGCATCCTGCTGCAAAGGAGCTTTTCATTAACAGGGAGAAAGAACAATCTTATGATCCAAGCATTTCCGAAACAAAGGAACTATTCAGAGCTCCAGAGACGCAATACATTAGTCTATAAACAAAGGAGGGAGATTTAATTAGAAAGCCAATGCTGGGTCAGAAAAAAACATAGGGATTTTTTGAAATGGGTGAGGCACGGGTTAGCTGCATTTCCCATGTCAAGCCTTTTTAACAAAAATGTTGACGTTGGGCTGATACCTTTCATTTCTCCTCTACACTGATGCTGTGCTGCTTTCAAAGCCAGGTTGCTGGAGTTACTCTGTGTCCATGAACCTTTGATGTTGTGTGAGAAGAACACACACAGGAAATATTTTAATTGATTTTGAACAGCTCACTGTAAATGCAAATTCTGTTTTGTTCCACGTTGAGGCCTTCAGGGCTGGCTCTGGGTGTGTGTGTACAAGTGCGTGTAGATATGGTACCAGCTGGAAACAACTTTAAGTACATGAAAGCTGTTGCCTCCCAACTGCTGAAGCTTTTATAACAGCACAAACCTGCCGGGACTGCTTCCTTAAGAAAGAACAGCTGATAATACCAACCACTCCCCTGGTGCCACTGTAACTTGATTAGCCCCTAATTCATTTCCTAAGAAACCTAGGAGAATTGCTCCCGTATCTAGGAGGAGTATCTAGGAGGAGCCAGTTTTGGGCTCCACAATTCAAAAAGGATGTGGAGAAGCTTGAAAGAGTCCAGAGAAGAGCCACGCGCATGATCAGAGGTCAGGGAAGCAGACCCTACGATGACAGGCTGAGCGCCCTGGGGCTCTTTAGCCTGGAAAAGCGCAGGCTCAGGGGTGATCTGATGGCCACCTACAAGTTTATCAGGGGTGACCACCAGCATCTGGGGGAACGTTTGTTCACCAGAGCGCCCCAAGGGATGACAAGGTCGAATGGTCACAAACTACTACAAGACCATTTCAGGCTGGACATAAGGAAGAACTTCTTTACTGTCCGAGCCCCCAAGGTCTGGAACAGCCTGCCACCGGAGGTGGTTCAAGCGCCCACATTGAACACCTTCAAGATGAAACTGGATGCTTATCTTGCTGGGATCCTATGACCCCAGCTGACTTCCTGCCCTTTGGGCGGGGGGCTGGACTCCATGATCTTCCGAGGTCCCTTCCAGCCCTGATGTCTATGAAATCTATGAAATCTAGAAGGGAAGAGTGAGTCAGTGCTTACAACCCGGGGATCTGCAAAAGCCCATTTCAGTTCCCTGGGTCACCCGAGGCAACTCACCCAGGCTCTCTGCTTCAGCTCCCAGGCTACAGAATGACCTGGTGCAAAATGCAGATATGTGTGAGATGCTCATCCAACATAACAGGGGCCAAAGGCACCATGGGGGAAGGGAAGAGGAGAAACACAGATCATTTGCAGAGGCACAAAACAATCCAAAGACACTTCCCAGGTAAGATGTATCCTGTTGCTTGCGCAGCTTTTGGGCGCACACACAGCAACACGCTAGTCCGGCACATTTTCCTGGGCAAAGGCAAAGCAGAGACGCTCACTCTGACACAAAAAGGGCCTGTGCTCCAAGACAAACTCACCCTGCTGCAGCCTTCTTGAGGGTTGAGGACACTGGGAACCTTGCAGAAGTCATGGTGCCCGGGCGACACCAGGGGTCATTTTTCACCACTTTGGGATGATCCCAAGTAACTCGCTGTTCCCAGTGGAGATCACCCTCCCAAAAGTATGCTGCGCACGGTGCTGGACAGCGACTCAGACAAAAAGCCTACTCCCAGCATTGCTGACCTGCTGTGTGACCTCTGGCAAGCCACTTCCCTTCGCTGTTTCCTCTTCCACGCTTTGTCTGTCTCTGTTTGTCCATCTTTTATGAAGTGTCTGTACAGTGGCTGGTACAGCGGGGGCCCAAGCTCAGTAGGAACTTCTAACGATTATTGTAATTTTACACACACGCACATACGTCATTAAATCACATACACACACATATCAAATACTAATAGTTGCACCCTATTTGATTCTAATTTGGCTCCATCTACACTGTAAAAGCACCTTGACTACATTTAGACACCATAAAAAACAGAACACCACGGCTAATAACTATTGCAAAGTCACATCAACATGCAGGTACAGATTATAGTAAGCAACGCTCCTGGGACATTTTGTATTTATTCTCCACAGTCCAACCAAAACGAGGCGCTGCTGGCACTAAGCTGATAGCTGGGTTAATCTAGGCACAGAGAGCCAGCAAGTTGTGTGCGAGCCCACGATGAGTCAGGAGCAGGGAACCAAAGCAACGCTCACCTACTTTGCAAAGTGTGGTCTCTTTAGATACACAGGAAGCTGCAGCTGCAGCTGCCTTCTGCCAGGCTAACTGTGACTTGCTCAGAAGTAAACACTGCTGAAACGCATGAAAAATAAGCCAGGGATTTCTCTCCATAAAGATTACGCAATTGCATTATTGCATCAAATGACAAAGGTCAAGGATTCCTGGGAAAACCAGGCAGCGGCGGGAACTGAACGTTCGATTTCAAGGAAGAAAACAGCACATCCATTCCTTCGATAGGCTAAACATGGGGCTTTTCCAGCTGGAAGACAGCCCTGCTCTACACGCTGGGTGTTCACTCAAAACGAAGCATGAAGGACACCGGAAAACAACTCTGAGAGTCCCTTAGAGGGAAGAAAACGACTCCAGTGCTTCCTGTCCTACCTGGTACTGCACGTACACTTGACGTATCAGCTACAAAACCACAGACGTGTCAATGCTCCACGGCAGCACCAGCCGTTCCAGAGACACAGATGCAATAGATACCATGGCCAGAGAGCCTGAGAGGGGGAGAGTTCACAGGTTTGCTGCTCTCCTTCAGCAAGAGCCTAACCCACAGCCCATCAGAGTCAGCCGAAAATTCAGATCAGGATCTAAGCCAGGGAGTGTGAAATAATCCAGGCTATTTTGTCACCTGCTCTCCTCCAGGCCTCACTCAAGCCTCCTTACCAATAAGAATAATACTCACAAAACTGACAAGCCCGCCAACTAAGAAACAGCCTCCCAAACAGACTCCAGGATAGTCCTAAAGCAGGGTCTTTGCTCCTGCCATTCATTTTGTGTCAAGGTGCTTGGATACTACATTGATGGGCAATAGAGGAGAGAGAGAAAGAGAGTCTGCTGGACTGCAGTAGAGGTCAGTGTCCAAAGGGAGGAAATGTTATATAATAAAAATACAGGTATTACGGTAAAAAAAATACATGTTTCTCCCTTTGAAATGCATGCACATATTCCTATGTTTTGCATCAAGTTTAAGGAGGGACATTAAAAACCGGTTGCTCCTACCGAGGTTTATAGACACCTCTAGAAACCTAAACATCAAATGTAGATTCATAGATTCATAGATGTTAGGGTCGGAAGGGACCTCAATAGATCATCAAGTCCGACCCCCTGCATAAGCAGGAAAGAGTGCTGGGTCTAGATGATCCCAGCTAAATACTCATCTAACCTCCTCTTGAAGACCCCCAGGGTAGGGGAGAGCACCACCTCCCTTGGGAGCCCGTTCCAGACCTTGGCCACTCGAACTGTGAAGAAGTTCCTCCTAATGTCCAGTCTAAATCTGCTCTCTGCTAGCTTGTGGCCATTATTTCTTGTAACCCCCGGGGGCGCCTTGGTGAATAAATACTCACCAATTCCCTTCTGTGCCCCCGTGATGAACTTATAGGCAGCCACAAGGTCGCCTCTCAACCTTCTCTTGCGGAGGCTGAAAAGGTCCAGGTTCTCTAGTCTCTCCTCGTAGGGCTTGGCCTGCAAGCCCTTAACCATACGAGTGGCCCTTCTCTGGACCCTCTCCAGGTTATCCGCATCCCTCTTGAAGTGCGGCGCCCAGAATTGCACGCAGTACTCCAACTCCAATGCATTTCCTTACCATATTTCCTTCCCTGATGCTTACAGCCTGGTTAGTTATTGTAGGGGTATTTACAAGCAGTAGCCTGTTGGCACTGGCTTGCTAGTCTAGGGTTATTTGTAGATACTGAACTGCTTGTACCAATTTGTTAATGGAGTTGCTCAAGAGCCGGCCATGGTTTTGCTAAGATTTATTGTTTACTAGGTGACAAGAGCATCAAAATCCCACTTTCCTTATTGGAGGATGAGGGCTGGAGAATGATTTTTTAAAGAACCAAAATACTCCAAACCAAAACTGCATGGGTTTTACAGAGACACCAGGAAGAGGAGAGCAGATTATTTGGCCCGCCAGTCCCGGGACAGGCTTTTCTCAGCGCTCCTAAATCAATCTCTTCCAGGCCCTTACTATAGTTGGAAGGTGTCTGGAAGCAGAGGAGGAAAGAGATGCTGTCTTTACTCAACTCAACCCGCTCTTCCCTCTCTGGCCTAGAGCAAATGGGGAAACATGACCCATTGCACACACAGAGTGTGCAAGACAAGCAGAAGTGGAAAAAGTCTGATTCATGCATGCTTCTGGCTGCTTGCACTTAAATAACCAAACCCACCGTGCAGACGGTATGGCCAGAAAAAGCAAAAAAGCCCCACACAGATTTAGATTTGGGGTCTCCCAACATATTTTAAAGCCCTTAAATTTACCAAAGTCTTTCAAGGCTCTTTGATTCTCACAGGAAGACTTGGAGCTCACAACCATGAGGATAGTAAACCCAAGTTACTCTGAGCAGAGTCATAAAAGAGATCTTATTTATAGATCTTGGAGCATCGTCTTGTCTGTCAGGGCCCGGCTGAGGTATGCGCACTACCCAGCCCAAGCCTAACCCCCAGCCCCTGCAGTCATGCAAGATCAGACTCTTGGTTTTTAGTTACATGCATGGGAAAAGCCTGAAAACATGAGTTGCGTGCCCGAGTCTGCACACCCCCGACACACTACCTCTAAGAAGTACAAGCAGCTCTGTGCGAGTGAGGCCACAACCTGGGAGAAGCCCCTGCAGGAGATGTCTACAGACTATTTTAATGCAGCCCCAGGGTGTTTTTAGGAAAATACCCACCATTGAACAGGCGCTGGTCTCCCCTAAAGGCAAGGAAACAGATGTGTTTGGAGGCCTGGGGGTAAATCATTTGTGGCAGCTCTGAACACATATCCCAGCATTTATGCCATGGCAGGATACCTCCCTTCCCTGCTCTCAGTATGTTGTGTAAAATGGCCACAAAGGCAGGAACCACGTGGACTGCAGCAGCCCTCACCTCGCCGTCGCTGCCACGTGCCGATGAATGGGCCGACACTCCCCGCAAGCTCGCACTTCTGCGCCCACGGACCGTTATCTCCTGGGAAAGAAAGACGAACAACCCCATGAGAAACAGACAGGCAGCGACTGAAACCCGAGAAACAGGTCTGATCTCAAAGACAGCGGAAAAGGCCAGTCTCTAACCCCTGGCATCTATCTGGACCAGCTCCATCAAGACCTACTCCATATTTTCACCCAAATTGGACCCAGACTCATAAGCTTTTATTGAGCAGATTGTCTGGTGGCCTCTCCTCGTCCCAGGGTGCAGGAGAAGACTTTACTGAAGTTTGTGGAAGAGAGAGAGGGTCTCTGGGCCTGCTCTTTGGGAGCCTCACACATCCCAGACAAACACATGCCCTTCTCCTCTCTATCACGCAAAGAAATCTTCTTTCATCAGATGCTCCGGCCGGCAGAGTTGGGGGGCAGACCAAATTTCCAACCCTGGATGTTATTTTCAAATGACAAGGCCATGGAGAGGGCTGAACTTTCACATAAGCAAATGAAGCTCAGGCAGGGAGCGGAAGGCAAAAACAGATCAGCCGTTTGGCTTTAATGAGCCGCAGAGCAGTTCCTGTCCTCTGGACGACGGCGGAGCAAGATGTCCTCATTAGGGAGGCTTCTCAGCAGGAGTGGCATTGGGCTTTTTAATTAATGAGGATTTTGAGGTTTCATTTGTGACGCCCAGGTTCATTCACCCTGTCTAATGCCGGCGACTTGGTGCATTGGGGTGGAAAACAAGCTGCCTGATGGAGGGGATGCTTTCAGGACCTGACAGAAGAGAACGGCCCTGCTGTTCTGTCCCAGGGCCTGAGGATGATGTGTGAAGGGAATTCAAGCCTCTCTGAGACCATGCCAAGGTGGGTGAATCTGACCTATCTAGGCATCGGCCATGCTCTCGAATATCAGACTGCCCAATGGATGGGGACACCTGGCAGGACCTGCTCCAAAAAGAGGACTTACTAAAGATTGTGAGGGGCAATCTAAGGGACTTACTAAAGATTGTGAGGGGACCAAAAGAGCTATTTGGAGCAGAGGAACCGCTGCTTTTAGGCATAAAGTATCTAAGTGGCACCTAATTGTTCACATCCTCTGCACAGGGCAAATCCCATCCTCCAAGACACTACTTCTCTGTTTCCCGTAGAAACAGTATGAAAGCAATAGGCCAAGCCTTGCCCCTCAAATATGTTGACCTGCTCTGGGGGTGAAGCCTCTCCAACACCACGGCTGAAACCCCAGAGCAGATCAGCATATTTGAGGGCAGGGCTTGGCCTCTTGCTTTAGTGCTGTTTCTACAGGAAACAGAAGTAGCGTCCTGGAGGATGCAATTCACCCTTTGCAGAGGATGTGATCGAGACCACCAAGACCAATTAGGTGTCATTTAGGTACTTAATGCCTAAGAGCGGTGCCCAAACTTTCCTGCTGGTGACCCCACTTCTATTTCTAGGCCCCACCCCTCAATTGAGTGTCCTTTGGGCTCACAGTCCCCCTCAGGGTTATGATCCCTAAGCTAGGAAATGCTGCCCCAAAGCAATCGTGCTTTCAAAAAAAAAAGGCAGATGCCATCTGACTGCTCCTTTTTTTTTGCCTGGGTGAATCTCTGTTATCTAGCTGATCTGCCACCAGAGCAAGTGGTTTTATGGCTTCACCTGTGAACCAAAGAAGTGTGTTTTCCTCCTGGGAGCTGTCGATCTCCTCTTTCAGCCGTCCCACGAAAGCATCCATCTCCCTCAAGCTGGCTCCGTATACCTCCCTGACTGACGAGCAGGATGGTGGCTGAGCAATTACCAAGGGCACGTGCATATGAGCAAGAGCCAGGTACAGGAAGAACGGGCGTTCGCTTTTCCTAAATGGGAAAGACAGGAAGTGTGTTTAGCCTGCTGGTTTGGAGGAAGGGGGCTCGCATGGGCAGATACAGGAAAGCAAGACTGGAGGGGAAGTGGAGTGGTGATGGAAAACAAAGGCCTTTCCTAATGTCTACTGCAGGGAGAAGAATCACAGAAGGTCACCAGTGGATAGATAGGGCACTGGGCTGGGTCCAAGAGACCTGGGCTTGACTCCCAGCTCTGCTGAAGATAAGCACGCTGATGGCAGAGAGGCAACCAAGCAAGGTGCTCTCTATCCTCTATCATTCACAGCCCCCTTGACATGGGGCTGAGATCTCTCCTGCACAAAACTTTCAGCACTTGCAGCTTGGGAAGCCAGAGCTGGGGACTGCGACTCAGGGCATGGTATACCTGCCAGGGAAAAAGGCCCTCGGTCTGGAGAACAGGCTTCCCTATCCAAAGTCTGCTCCTGAAACAAGAGCTGTCCAACGCAGAGGCCTGGCTCTCCCCTTGCCTCTGGAGCCCTTTGCTCCGGAAGCCACCTTCAGCAAGTTGCAAAGAGTCCAAAGTTGCTCCGTTGTTATCAGGTGCTTGATAACTTGGCCCATAAACATGTCTGCCCTCCTATGGTCAGCAATCAGAGCAGGTTCAAGATATGTTGTGCAGCGAACAAAGTGATGGGTTCAGTCACACAGCTCTTATGGAGAGGAAGAGGAGACTGCAAGCAGCCTTCCTCCCACAGGCCACTCCCCAGCTAAGTGACCTCTGACACGGGAGCTTCCCAGAGGTACCGTCACGCAGGGGCAGGACACGGGTCTGGCACTACCTGCACATCTGTACTGTCCTGCAGAGCAAGACCCAGCTGCTCAGAGCAGCTACACTCCTGAGCTGCTTCAGCTGGACTGCAAATCAATGTGCTTGAGAGGCAAAGGATAAGGGGGAGACCAGCAAACCTGCCTCACAGGTGGTCTCAATCAGCCACGGCACCTGCCCTTGAATCAAGTGGCTGCAAGGCAGTTCCAGGCACAGGCTCATTTCTTTCTGTCAATGAATGAGTCAGTTTTTCCCTGATTCTGCTTAAACATCCTAGATTTTTTATTTGCTTTCCCCCACTGTTGCTAAGCACGAGCCCAGGGCTGCATCTACTATTGCTCCTCTTTCCTGTCCTGGATGCTTGAGGAGCTCGCAGGATGGGAGCGCACCAGGGCTGTTTCCTCTCCCTTTTTTTGGTTCCCAATCTCATTTCTCAGCAGTCAAGCGCACATGCTGTTTGGCCACACACCACTTCAACTCCCTCTTTCCTGGCAGCCCAGTCCTCCAGCAAGCCTCAGAGCAGGCACCGCACACTGCAAACACGGCAAGCTTCCTCTTCAGGCTCCCTGCTGCTGTGCCACGACCCTGACCCTGACAGCAATTCGTGCCTCCTAATTGCTGAAGATGCTCGGTGGTGGGGCAAAGCCATGCAAGCCTTCCCCGCAGCATGACATCCTGTGGGTTTTCCCCAAACGCAGTGACAAGACACAACAGGCTACAGCTACTAGATACCAAACCCATGCAGCGGACAGTGAGGAGATGGCCTGTGACATTCATCTCTAGTGCCCGTCGAGAGATTTGGGGGCTGTTTTCACGTGCTCCCCTTTGCTTACATTCCCATCCCCGCACTAAGATCTTGGATGTCCCTCTGCTTTCAGAAGTAAGGTTTAATTGATTTAGACAGCAGGATGGAGCAGTTATCTCCGAGCCCGGTGGGAAGCGATGCACATGATACTCCAGAAGGGAAGCAAAGCATGTTCGCAACAGAGTCCGGCCGACCGGGACGGCTGAGAATTGCTGTCCCTGCCTGTCTGTTTTTAAATCGCTGGCAGACGCATCCTGTTTTCTTGTTTACAGCTATATTTATCTCCTCAAAGGAGGCCTGCTCTTCCTCAGAGACCTCCGAGGGGAAGGGTGGGATGACAAGTGATCAGGGGGAACCGGATCACAGTGATGTGTGCATGTGTGTGCGCGTGCGTGTGTACATGCACATGCCTTGATGAAGGCCTGGTTGTGTCTGAGCGTGCTGGCTGCTCCAATTCCTGCCCCTGGAGTTCAGATCTCAGCAGCTACCGCCGCCGTGTCGCAGCCTTGCCATCACCGCCCGATTGCATTTTAAAAGACTGAAGATGCTTCCACAATTTCAACAAAGCGTGTTTATGCCCTGAGGCCTGCATTTCCTTCCTTTGCCTAGCGGATTTCACGCACATTGAGAGCAGGAAAATTAGTGAGTCCTACTGCTCCCTGAATAGACTCTTTCTTCCATAACCTAGCTGGAGCCAGACAGTGTTACACTCTTATCAGCACTATGCTGGACCCTGCAAAAAAAAAAAAAAAAAAAAAAAAGAAAAGGAAAGGAAAAAGAGTGTTTCTAGACGTTCCTGCTGTGGAGCAAAGCCCTTGTATAGCCCTGGTCTATCACAGCACTTTTTTCCTGCAAAGAGCCTGAAAACCATTGCTCCAAGTGCTAAACCTTGATGCCTAATACCAGTTTCAGCCTCTGCATTGCTAACTACTTCATTGCCAGTTAATCTCACAGCAAAAGCAAAGCCAATTTGAGGAGGATACCATCGTTTGCACAGCCCTACTCTACACAGTAGCATGTCACTTCGCAGAATCTGTGAGATTGTGCTGAGGTCTGTCTTCGGCCAACCTCTGCAAGAACAAGAGACCATCTCCCAGCAACATTTCAGTGCAAAAGTATGTCCCAGTCCCATCAACTCTGTGTCTATAAAGTATATATGCAATAAAGTACTTGTGGGGAATAAATTAAACTTGTAAACATAAGCTTTTTGGGGGTAGGGAGCACCACTTTTTTGTTCTGTGCTTTTGCAGCACCCAGTGACTCTTGCCTTACCACAACACCAGGTAACAGCAATAAGTAATCATTTGGCCAATCAGTATCAATTAGCGTTCTGCCTGGGGAAACCCGTTAGGATCCTCCTCCAGGAGGAGGTGTTGGCAGGGGAAGAGCCCAGAAATAACCTGCTTCGTCTCCACTCCATTCAGCTATACTTTTTGCTTGACTTTTGCCCCATCACTTAATAATTTAGCCACAAAAAAAACCCTGTAATCATTTAATCAATAACTCAAGAAGGGGGCTCTTAGAATCACAGTCCTGGACTTTGTACCTCGTGTTCACAGCATTTCCTTGGATGGAGCCAAAGCTCACTGCCACGAGCTACTCAACTCTGACTCATCTAGTTGAAAAACAGAGAGATGATGGATTCCAAGTTTTCTCATTGCTGAACTATGATGGTTATTGGACAAAGGTAAACCAGAGTAAACTGAGCCATTTAAAAGTTAGATAAGCAACCACCCAGACTGCTTTGTGAAACAGCAACCTGTTTTATCCAGTTCTCAGCAAACACAATAGAAATGCCCCCCAAAGACCTAACAATTTGTTAAGAAGCTTTTCCATTAACACTGAGGAGGGACACCTGGCTGAGAAGTTTTGCTGAACTCGCCCAGCCCAGCACTGCAGAGCCCATCCTAGGGCGGCTGTGTGGGAACAGGGTGCCGAGTCTCAGCCATTCGAGTCCCTGGTGCATTGGGCAGTTTGTAGGAAAGGCTGCAGCAACCAGCAGCTCCATAGCTTCAGGATTCAAGTTCAGCTTTTCCCTACTGCCCCAGCAGGATTCAGAGGGACTCCCACTAATATGTGATGATCCTGCTCCAAAAGCAGATGGTAAAGTTTGTGTGGTGCAGACCTAAGCAGCTAGCACAAAATTCAAGGTGTAGCATGTTGTTCTCACTTGGAGGAGAAAGGGGCTTTCTTGGTATAACCCTGTTTGCTTGCAAAGAATATGCCAAGTCCAGTGTCCTTGTACACAAGGGTGAATCAAAGCTCTCTGGGCTCTTTCAACCAGTGCTCAGCCAGTGTGTTCACACTCCACCTAAATGTGAATTAACCACATCTAGACGAGCCCTCCCCAACCTCCCATCAGGCAGAAGCAGGTTCTGTAAAAGCAGCAGATCGATAGCAGGACTTGGGAGTTCAGAGCCCACAACTCAATGACCTAACCCTACGTCCTGGGTCAACAACAGGATTAGCATCTCACAAGCCTCTGTGCCTAGAATAAAATGCTGTAGACCCTGTGACTATCATGAGGATCAGGTCAGGACAACCTAGACCTTGAAGTCACAACACTCGGAGTGCTAGGCAGCTGGATTTTTCCCTGCTTGGGTTCCAGTTATGACTTTAGCAGCCATGGTTTCAAGAGCTGCCAGGACCAGAAGCCAATATTTTATTCCAGTTCAAAACCCTGTGCTTGCATTGCCTGCCAAGTACACAATCATTTACAGCTGTGACTAGCAGGGTTGATCACACTCTTTTAGCAGCTTTTACACTCACCTGAGGTAAATAATTGCTCCAAGTAGAGGACAATGGAGAATCTCCCATCTGGGCACCGGTCTGACGGGTCAGAGCAATATGTCAGCGCTTCCCATTGTTTCAGACATAAGTGGCCTCTCTCCTGCCCTGCCTCAAGGGTTTTGTGTTTTATGAATGAATCTGTGAGACTGGGCACATAGTCACGGAAACCCTTAGAAAAGAGGTGGGTTTTGCATTTGTCTCCGAGTTCAGTGAGGTTTGCCGTCATTCCTACTTCTTCTGGCAGCAACTCTGACTAAGTAGCTTGTGAACTCAGTTGTGAGAGGATCTTAGCAACTGAAGAAATGGAGCAATAAATCCAAATAGTAGATCAGGAAAATGTGGTTTACAACACCTCCAAGCTTATGGGGTACCAGGACAAGAAAGGATTACCAGCCCTGGACAATGCATCAGAAGGAAGAGTCTAAGCCCTATATTCCCATCTCAACCCTATGTAGGGTGGCCATCAGAGAGGACAGTCCTGTTCTCCTCTGTCCTCTATTGATATGAAACCCAATGCCTTTATGTCCTCTATTTTTTTCTTCAAGAGAACTGATCAAGAGAAAAATAAAGGCGTTGGGTTTTGTATCAATAGAGTAGCAGAAAACTGGACTGTCCTCTCCCTATGGGTTTTGCAAGATCCTTGCCCAACGAAAATGCCTGTGCATCTGCTAACTTGATTAACTAGACAATAGGCTGCTAAAAATATCTGTTCCAGCAGCCATGGGTATCTTTTTCATCTGGATCATCAGTCTTCCCTGTCCCACTAAGCTGTCCCGGCTGAATGGAGGAGGTTGTCAGCTCGAAAGCAAACAAGTGTCTCAAGGACAACCCAGGAACAGCTCTCAAAGGCCCCCAGACACAGCAATGAACCCCTGACAAACTGTCTTTTGCTCCAGGTACTCTTGTGCTTCCCCAGACTCCCTCACACCGTAGTAACAATGGGAAATGCTCTGCTCAACTTTCTAAGCTTGGGAACTGAAGCTGGATGCCCTTTCCAAGACCCGTTTTGCTTCCTCTCTTCTGAATTTCAAAGGATCTAAAATTCCATCGCTATTTCCCGGAAACCCTTTGGGCCTGATCCTCAACTACTCTGTTCATGAGCTTGAGTCAGAGAGTGACAAGGGAAAGGCACTTGCGTGCGCCTTGGCAGGACCTCTCGGCAGAGGAACACTCCTCCCATCCAGACAGAGCCCTGCAGGGGCTGCTCAGCTCAGCTGGGATCACACTAGGCCTTGACCTCTCAAAAGGAAACCTCCTTCTTCAGAGACAAGGTTTTTGTTTGAGTGGTTTGGCCCCAGACCTGCACAAAGGCAAAAAGCCACAAGCAGCAATCATGCCCAGCACAAACATATAGCAACAGACTGCTCACCTGGGAGCCACACCAGCGGTCTCCATCCCTGTCTTCCCCCCAGCTCCTTCGTCAGGGGAATAGGACACACCTGTTCTCCACCAGCAGGTCCCTAACACCTCCAGATGCCTTCCTCCTCCCAGCTGCATGTGGCTAACTCCTGCTGGTGGTCCTGTGCCCTGGAGCATGACAATGTGACCGGGTCTCAGAACAAAGCTTCTCACAAGCATAGTCTAGGGGACATCTTCACCAGTGCACATTAGCTGCTTGGCACCTCCACGCTGACTCAATGCAACCAGGAATCCATCTGCCCTTGCTGGGTAAGTCAGGCTTGGGGTTGCTTTGAATTACAGGAGTGGCACAAAGCAATCAGAGCGTACAGATAACTCCAGCCAATGGTCTCTGCAGGACGGCCTGGGAGATGGACCCAAGACTGAAGGGAAAGGAACAGGGTTGAGAAAAGGAAACTAATTCGTGCTGGGCCACGAGTCCTAGTGAGGAGATTCAGCCGAAGTGGGATGGGAAGGGACGTGATGCAAGTACCATGCAAGGGCCTGCCTGCCCTTGTCTCTCGGTGAAGTGTAAGGGGAATGCACTAGCCCTTACAGCTGGTCTGACCAAAGCACCGAATGGGCTGAGAAGCAGTCGGCACAGGCTGCTGTGCAACGCACGTGCTGCAGCCTAGAAAGGTCTGCTCCATCTCTAATTTCCTTGCCCCTGATGTCAGTGGTTCAGCTCACATAGGAACATAGGACGGGCCCTGTGTCCTCGACTGTTAGGAGCTTTGTGATTAGAGTAAAACCAATGCCTAAAAGCATCAGTATTTGATCTGACAGCAATGTTTCCTTTCCTTTCCCCACCCAGTGAATGCTAATTTAATTGCACGTCTTACTAATTTCTTCCTTGTTCCGAGAACAAAACGAGGCCTTCAGTATGCCTGTTACATAACTATCGATTACATGCCTTGACCTTTCCAGAACATTTTATTTGTAAGCACATATGACTACTTCAAAGGAGAGATGCTGAAAACAGCAGTATTTCTTCAGCACATCCAGAAGACCGCATTTACTGACCACCAGGCTTCTCCCTCTCAAAGTGATTCTCTAGAAACGTCCTACTTCACAACCCCATGCCCTGCAAGGCTCAGATTCACTAAAACACCAGCTAGGGCAGTAACTCTTGCTCTGCTAGCTCTGCAGCCTCTACATCACGGGGAGCTCCTATCAACTTCTCTAGCACCCGGGGTAAACCAAAAGAGCAAAAAGGAGCAGGGCTGGGAGTGTCAAAGGCCAAAAGAGCTGTGCCTGCTAAACACCCTTCCCAAAACAACCTGGAACTGAACCAAAGATTCCTGAATTTCACCTCCTTTTTGGTCAACTCAGTGTAAGTCTCGTTCTCTTCTAGCAGCTGGTGCCGCAAAGAGGATGACAACCTACTGTTGCTGCTAGTGACTCCAGAAGTCTGCACGATGATAGCCACCTTGCTGATTGACCGTGACCGGTGACGGGGTCAGTGTGATTTCACGTGCTGGGATTTCTGACTTCTCTGCTTGTTCTTTAGAAACCTAGGAGTCCAGTGTTAAAAACTGGGATATGATTGTGTTACTAAAAACTGTCTCCTACAGCACGTGCATGAGGGAGCTCAAGTCTGGGATTCCCCAGCTCTTCAGCGGTTAACTTTGCAACCAGAATGTGTATTTAAGGTAGTTTATTGTATATGTGTCAGTTCCTAATTTTTTAAAAAGCAAACTAGGGAAGAAACCCTACACGCTGATCCTCTGCAATTGTATTGACCTCCATCGGGGTCATCAGGAGGACTGGGACCATTACACCCACCACTCAGACCTCAGGGCACGGGGATTGTCACTGATGTTTGCTATTGGAATTAAGCTCCTCAAAGGCAGCACTGCAATGTGGTGTCACCAAGGCTGATGCTTCACCTGCTTACCTGGCACACTGAATGAACCGAGTTGCTTTTTCTGCATACTCCGCAGCCAAGCTGGTCAAGTTGACAGGCTGTTGGACAATACTGATGTTTTCAAAGAGAGGAAGTGCCACCTCGGTGTAGCAGTCCTTCCCAGAGCTGCTAACAAGAAACCAAAAACTTTCCATTACTCAGAAACTCATGGTTATGAATAAACAGAGGGGGCTTGGTGGGGCCCAGACTTTGGGACATTAGGTCAATAGTGCTGTTATGACAAAAACCAAGTCTTGAACCTCTTGTCTCAGCTGCACGTGTAGTGTAGATCTCTGCAGGAGATGAATTCAGTCCCTACTTACCAGGCCCCCGGGTGGGAAGTGGAGCATGTTATTGTTGTTCTAGGAGAGCTTAGTGGCTCCAACAGAGAGGCAATAAGGCCTGCCCTACATTACAAACTTTTGTCAACAGCAGCTGGCTTTTGTTGCCACGGGTTTGCACGGGTTCACACACAAATCTGAGATAAGTCAGCAAATCTGTCTTTTCTTGGCCAAATGACACCATCGCCTCCCTGCACAACCCAAGCCCCCCACTGGCATGCAGCCCTTGGCTTAGGGGGTTCAGCATTACCCGTGTTGGTTCCTCACGTCTGCCAGCCACAATCCCACTGTGGCCATTCTGGACACAGTTTTGAACTTCACTGCCCAGAGGTCACAGGGACTGAAAACCCTCCCTGATCTTGCTACTATCTTTTAGGAAGGTTTATTTCTTTACTAGCCCACCTTTGCAGGCTGACATGGATGGACGGCACCTAAACCTCATCCTTCTGCCTGGACCAGAATCCTGCATCTCCTCAGCTCGTGTGGGCGATAGGCAGGACAAGCCCAGCTCCGGGGTGCTGCCGGCATAGAGGTGTTTATGCAGGCTTCCCGTAAGGGATGCAAGCCCGTGATTGCACACAGGATTCAACGAGCGAGCTCTGCCCTGTGGAGCTCCCAGACTGAACTGACACTCTGCATGTGGAGAAATGAGGCAGAGAAAACCTGAATGCCAGGCCCCAGGTGGCCCAGGGCATCTGTGGCAATGGCAGGAAAGGAGCCCAGATGGACTGAGTCCTAGGCAAGCATCTGAATCACATTCTGCCCTTGGATGTAGTTTTGCCACGTGTCTCAGTGGGCCTCCCTTGCGATTCCTCTCTGTCGGATGCAGGATGTAGCGTAGGCTGGTTTCCCAGGGTTTCCTACACGGGTTTTCTCCTGGACAAGAGGCAGCAACACCAAGGAAGAACAATATAGAGGACATATGTAAACAATTTAGAGACCACCCAATTGCTCCAATCCAGCCACCCCGTCCCAGTTTTATCAGAGGGAGCAGAAGAAAGGATCCAGATCCTGAGATCCACCCATTCAGCAATAACATGTCGAGAGAGAGAGAGAGAGAGAGAGAGAGAGAGATGTTTTGACCCTTGCTTCCATCAGCCCACTGACTCCTCTTCTCATGGCGGGAGAAGTTGTACCTTGTCAATGCAGAGTGCCAAGGGCAGGCTGGACACGGAGGGAGATTGTAGCCTGGGGTGTCAGTACAGCCCATGTCGTGACTGTAGGGGATCCCGAAGTAATAGTCGAAACCTGGGATCCAAAGGAGCGTGTTAGTGTGTACACAACTGCCTGCTGTCCGCGGGTGTGGTTTGGCTGTTACACACTGTTGACACAGTTGGTGTTGCTGGGTTGACAAGAACAAAGGGGGTCAGGTCTATCCTGCAGTCAGAGCCATGCAGCAACTGCAAGAACCCGCAGGGCTCCTGGCTTTGCCTGCACAGCCCTAGGGACCCAATTCATGTTGGAGCTGAATGCAAACCTAGTGATACATCACTGTTTGCATTGCCCTGCATTTCTTTCCCAGCCCGGTGCACTTTTGGAACCAAACTTCCCAGGGAATTTGGGAGGGCACATACAGATGATACGAGGTGACACAAGGAAGTGCAAACTAAAACCAACATTGGACTTCATTGCCCACGTGAAGATGGACTTTTAAGGTCAAATCCTCCCCAGGGAACAAGCCCCAGCTGCAACAACCAAAGAGGCCCTGGGTATAACCTTAAATGCAAAGGGAGATCCACAGATGAAATAGCTGCTTCAGCAGCTGGGTGCCAAAAGGCAAGGCCACCTCGTATGTGCATCCTGCTCTGCACAGCACCCCCAGCACTGCTGTAAGGAAGCTGGGCAACAAGTGCTCCAATGGAGGGATGGGAGGAAGGCTACTGAAATGCACACAGTAGGAGCAGGGGTCACCATCACCCCTTACACCCACACACCACCACCCCTGGGCTCTTTTGGTGGTAAGCAAGGGCTTGTCCCACTTTCCTGCTGTCTGCACACACGGGAGTCATTATGATTCCTACCAAGGGGGCAAAGGGGAAGAGTAGACTGCAGCCCCTTCACCTCTGGCAGGATCCCTGCTAAATAACATAAAAACATAAGAACATAACAAGTGCCTTACTGGGTCAGGCACTGGTCCATCTAGCCCAGTATCCCATCTCCAACAGGAGGGAATGCTGAACCAGGTATATCTAGAGTGATCTATCCCCTATTCATTAACCTCCCTTGACTGAGTTCCTGACAGGTTGCCTGCTCCCCGCTCTCACAGGGCAGCCATTGAAAAAGAGGAGAATGGCTTTTAAAAGAGAAGGGGTAAGCATGAAATAGAAACACTGGCTGATCTCTACCACAGAAGAAAGGGAGAACCCCAAAAGTCCTTACCGCGGAAGTTGGGATGATAGAGGCCATTGTGCCCAAGGTGCCACTTGCCTGAAAGAAACCAGCAGACAGATAATCCTGCTTCACCTGCTGCATTTACAAGCAAGCGCATGCAATGCGCAGAACACGGTATTTGAGCCCAGCGCCTGACACCGCTAACTATTTCTGTACATATGACCTGCCCGTAATGCCCAGCCTTTCTCTGGGACCAGAAGAATCGTCTGTGGCTGCATAGCTCCTGCCTGTCCGAAGCCCTAAGGATGCTTTGGAAGACGAGGCATTCTGTGAGAATCTAAACCATCTGTTCCTGGCTTCGGCCTCTGAACTGCAGGGCATGTCGTGTTCTCGTCTGCTCTTAATAGGGTTTGCCGGTGTAGCCGTTCCAGTACAGCTACAATTGCAAAAACAGTGCCAGAGCAACGAAGATTCGCTGCTCTGCCCCAGCTCTGGACCGTGCTGTCACCGTCACAAGATCCCAGCCCTGGAGCAGCTCCATGCCCAGCTGCAAGCCCTGCCAGCACTGCTGGGGCTGGTCTCCATGGAAACCCTGGCCCCGGGCTGGCACTGGTGTCTCCATGGAAACCAGCCACAGCAACGCAGGCAGGGGCGGCAGGGGCCCAATCCAGCCCACAGCCTGGATTTTGCCTGCCCCTGGCCGAGAGGTAAATAGGCACTTGGGAAGTCAAAGGGGCCCGAGTCACATCGCTCCCTTGTGTGCGGCTGGCTACAACAACCAGCATGTACTAGCCAGAAAGGCCCAATGGGCAGCTGGGCCTTGGGAGATCTTTGACCTATTCAAAGTGTGGATGCAGCTTATACCCGACCCAGAATAAACTATATCAGCAAAAGAACTTTTTCTTAGTATGACTGCATCTGCCGGGAGGTTAGAAGCAAGATATTTTTTAGGCTCCAGCGAGCATAACTATGCCAGCAAAACTTTTAAGTGTAGACCAAGCGTAAAATCACGCACTGCTCTCAGATTCTGCCAAAATTTGGCACAACGTGACCTAAGGATTAATTAAGGAGCTTTTAGCATCAGCTTCCTCGGCTATTTACCCACATCAGTCTGCATGCAAAGCGACCCTTGAAGCCAAGGAATAGCTTTGCATTGTAAATCAATGGCCAGCTCTACATTTAACTAACTGAATTTCCTGAGACTTTCTTGCATTGCAATTTGGATGAGAGTCTATGTTTTCCTCTCATTATCCACAGATGACTGATATGATACACTAGGACAACTCCATTGGAAGCTGGTACGGTGTCCCGTGCACCTACAACAGAGAGTCTGAAGCTCCCAAAGTACTGACATATTTTATCCTACATGCCAATACCAGACAGTATGCCAATGTAAACTCAGAGCTTGTGCGTACGGAGACATCATATATGTACTCATGTTTAGATTAAAAGTTACTATCTGTAGAAGCAGCAGCTTTTCTGAAGTTGAGTGACTTGCTAATTTAAAAATTTGATCAGGCCAAAATATCAGCTGAGCTAAGCACCTCAAAATTGTACAACCCAGGCAGGGGTTTTAAAGTTACAAAACTGCGAAAAGAGAGGGAGGAGAATGAAGAATATCTTTGTCTTCATTCTCTTTAATGAATGCCTGGATTTCCCTCCGGGTTGGGAAGTGGTGCCCAGGGAGCAAAATTGGCGCCAACAGGTATTTTAATAAATTTGATTAAATAAGCTAGAAGTGTGCAGAGCAGACAGTCCCTGGACTGAGTAACCAGTGCACCGCAACTCTGCCCCTGAAGTACCCGCATAAGGGAGTGTCAGCCTTCACAGAATAGTTCAGGATCTGACCCACACATAGTCACTGCCAGACATGGAGTTGGTCAGCCAGTGCCAAATAAAACAGAGTTTCCTACTGTAAACCCCGCATTGGGAGGGGATTATTCATTATTTGTGTTACAGCAGTACCTAGCAGCCCCAATCCAGATTGTAGTTTGTGTTACACCAGTACCTACCAGCCCCAATCCAGTTTGAAGCCCCATTGCACTGGACACTACAGAGAACACCGCAGGCAGATGTATCATAGTCTCTGCTTCCAAGAGACTACGGTCTACACAGTAATGATGCTGGCAGCCAATCCCATCCTGGGCTAGATTTAAATCATGAATTAGCTCCATGGACCACCAAAAAATTCCCCCGAGCTACTGGCCCACCTCTACTTTGCCAGAGGCAATGGTATGTCTACAGGGCAGCCCAGACACAGAACAAGGCGAAGGCAGGTGTTTGCAATGCACTGCTTCGATTACCGATCACGGCAGTGAGGTATCCGGCGTCCTGCAGAACCTCAGCCAACGTGGTTTCGTTTAGGGGGAGGCCACCAACTGAAGTCACAGCAAAATTGTGGGTCACGCCATTGCGAGTGCCAAGCCGTCCCGTGAGGAGCGAGGCGCGAGACGGGGAGCAAGTGGATGCTGCCGAGTGGAAATCCACCAACCTGGAAGACAAGGAGGCAACAACATGGCTGAGGATTTTTAACTGCAACGTTTGAGACAGGCAGGCTGTGGTTGTCTGGCCAAGCGTAACAGATTCACGCACTTTGGGGCTGGTTTGACAGGAGACCAGGGGCACACACAAGTGCACAACTAGCGGTAGCATGTATTACACTGTGATTTGAAACGCAAATGACCCTATTGCACGTGGCAGTGGCCAGCAACATGCCTTGCAAGTCATCTGGGCTGCAAGTAGCTCACTGGGTGTGCAGAGCTCCACAAACCACTCTTCTGTCCATCCAAGCACCTTCTGCACAGAAGGGATTGGCACCAACAAAGCCCTGAGCAGAGCTCGTGGTTTCCTATGGGAAACCCTATGAGTCTGGTTTTCCTATGGGACAGAGTCCTTCCCTCACCGTCCTTCTCCCACCCCCTTCCCATCACTGCACCAAGGACCCAATCCTGGAAAGCATCTGAATTTGCAACAGCACATAAGCATGAATTCAAACATGTACTTGAGTGCTGTCCTGAATCAGGGTCCAAAAGTATGTGCGTCTGAGGCCTTTCTAAACCAGCTGGTACCTCTCTGCAGTCTGCCCTGACCGTACAATGTTGTACTACTTCAGTTTAATCACACTCTGGGTCAGTCTATTGAGTTACTAGATATCATTCTGGGAAACGATTTTGTGAACAGGTTCAGCCAGACACAGTTCCCATGTCAAATGCCAAATAACCTTTAGGACTGAAATCCTAAATGAGACACTCAAATGGGCAAAGCATTAGGAAATGTACAGCTAGGATGCCGATGCTGTAGCACTGAAGCATGAGAAGAACAGCAGTGGGGGTTTTTCCCCCATTTTGTGAAGGATCATTGGCGTTACTGGTCTGGATCAGACCAGTGGCCTGTCAAATTCCCATAGCCCATCTCTGCCTGTGGCCAGTACCAAAACTTCCCGAGTGCGGCTCAACAACCCCACAGCAGGCAGATGGAAGATAATTTATTTCTCATGATGAGCACCCCGCCCTAGACCCCATCCATGAGAGAGTGATGTAAGCTGTAAAACCCAAGCTTGAATACCACTTTTGTTCCTCCCTTCACCTTGAAGACATACGATTTGAAGAACGTAACGGACAGAATCAACTCTGCATTCTTGTATCGAAAGCTTGTGACATATTAAACAGTTAATGATTGCGTACAGCCTTGATAATGGAGACTCTACATTCATACTTAGGGTTATTGTTACCATGCACTGTGCACCCCAGCAATCAGACATGACAAGCATTTTTCACGTGAGATGTCTCTGTGGCTTCTACACAAACAGACGTGGTAGGATTTCCTCTACAACTCTTATTGATTGCGGTCTATAAAGATAAGATCCATTTTTTTTAATTATTTGAACAAAAACCTGCCTCTAAATAGTTGCTGAGTTCCTTCCTTTCCTTTTCCATGTCCTTGGGACAGGGTATTTAGCAAAATTTGCAGATATGCTGGAATCTGACAGGGCCACGCCGTGAGCGCTTCTGCTGCGGCCTCAAACTTGTGACCTTGGTAACTGTCCATTGCGACTTGCGACAGAAAATGCAAATACTTACTTATCAGCTATTTCTAGGTTGTCCAAGCCCAGGTTCCCTGTCACTATCTCATGTTGGCTGCAATCATGATGGACGCCATGAAAAACAAATATGTTGCAACCCACGTCCTAACCACTGTCCCGACATAATCTAGACCATGTTTGGCTCCATCAAAACACCAACTCAAAGGACTCCAGGGGCACTGCCCAGCAGAAAAATGAAGATTTCCTGAGGCCACTTGCTAATAATCATTGCCACCCAAACCTAAGGATCCTCAACCAAATTCCTACTTCCAGACACAGAGAAAACTACTTGCTGTGGTATCTGCAAACGCTCAAAGGAGAATGGAAACACACATCCTTTCCCCCACATCTGTGATACAAAGAGTGGCTGCAAACACAATAGAAAGCAAGGCCATAACAGCCACGATTCACCTGACTATCACGACAGGAGTCCAGTCCCATGTACACAGGCTGACTCCTCTCTGCCAGCATTAACAGGACACCGGAGTGAAGCTGAATATCAGAGTGGGAGGATCAGGTACAAGGACTCCTGCCCAGATGCAGAGAGGCATTAAGGACCCATCTTATGTTAAATCTAAATGGGCAGACCTCGAGGAGAGGTCTCAATGCAATTACCTGAGAACTGCATGGATAATTTGCAGGGGTAGAGAAAGGCAAAGGCTGAGAGTTTGACCCTTGGTTTCTTGCAGAAGTGCTCAGTCTGCCAGGAGAGTCTGAATTTGATTTGGAAAGGGCGCATGAGGTCTCTGGCTCTTAAGCCAGTCCCAGCCCATTGGCATCACTTGCTAAACTTCTCAAATTCCCTGGAAAAGTAAAAGTAATGCGGCTCAATCATGATGAAAAAGGAATGGCTTCAGGGGACTCTTGTATAATAACAGACCAGTTCTTTATGGTTTAGCAGAGACTTGCCTTTCGGAAAGCTAAGGTACCAGCCAGGGAAGGTGGGCTCCGATATGTGATGCAGTCTCCAGCCCAGTCCCCGAGTTTCATAGTTTCATGGTTGTTAGGGGCTGGAAGGGACCTTACAGATCATCAGGTCCAGCCCTTTTGCACTTGGACAGGAAAGACCTCTGGGATCAGATGACTCCAGCAAGATGGGCATCAAGACTTCTTCGAAGATCGCCAGGGTGGATGACTGCACCACCTCTGGGGGAGCCTGTTCCAAACCCTCCGCACGTGACTTGTAAAGAAGTTTTTTCTTATGTCTAGCCTGAAGCGATCCTCAATCAGCTTGTGCCCATTATTTCTTGCCCTCCCCGGGGGGCCTTGGTGAATAGACGCTCCCCCGAGCTCTGATGTACGCCCTGATATACTTATTGGGTGCCACCAAGTCCCCCCTGAGTCTTCTCTTCTCCAGGCTGAACAGTCCCAAGTCTTTTGGCCTCTCCTCGTATGACCTGATCTCTACGCCTCTAATCATGGCCCTCCTTTGGACTCTCTCGAGCTTCTCCACATCCTTCCTGAAGTGCAGCGCCCAGAACTGGATACAGTCTCACCAGTAGAGTGGGAGGATGGCATCTTTAGTTTTGCTTGAGATGCCTCGGCAGATGCATGCCAGTGTCTGATTAGTTCTGCCAGCTATGGCATTGCATTGGTGGCTCATGTTCATTTTGTTCATTTTGTTCAATCATGACACCCAGGTCTTGTTCAGGTTCCTGGCTGGCAAGGCAATGTACCCATCCCAACGGCAAAATGGTCTTCTAAAGAGCCCAGGGTAAATGAAGTGTCACAGGAAACCTATTTCTCAGGTGTTCAACCTGCCCCACTGGCGCAGGGGAATGGGGCCAGCAACCACGGAGGATTTTCTGCTCTCCAGTCAGCTGTACGCTGCTGCTCTGTTACCATGTGGGACACAAACAGCAATTCTCATCAATACCCAAGCGGCAAGCAGCCGCATGAAGGCAGCAGAGGGGCCCCAAATCCCAACCTGTTCCCCAGACAGCGATCCATCTGCAAAATGAAAGTATTTAAACTGCTTATCAGCGGTAGCAGCGAGTACCTTCGCTGCCCCGTTCCTGTTGGGAAGTTAGTGAAATGTCTGATGTGACATTATGGCTGCACAAATCAACACATCTTTCATTCGGGGATTGTGCAAAGCTTGTGTTCACTCTGCATGGGAACACACCAGGAAGTGGTGCAGCTCCTGATTTCTCTCAGGAACTTTAGGGCCCCGCTTCATGGCTTAAAACTGATGTCAACAGATGCCCCCCGCCCATGCTGTGCCATCCCACTTTGCTGTGTGTGTGGGGAGGGGGGTGTGGGTCAGGGTCCTGCAGAGTGATACTCCACCTTCGGAGCACCTGAAAGGACCCTGCACAGAGATGTCAGGAGCTGGACTCTGTGTACATGGACCCTGCGAGCCAGTAGACAGTGGAAAAGGGTAGCAGGGGTTTCTGAACCACCCAGCGGTGTTTCTAGCCTCCACATTCTCCCTTTCCCTCTACCCTCCTTGCCCATTTCTCCACCTCCATTGCCTTCCTCCTCTCACACCTTCCTATGAACCTCTCCCACCCCCCCACACTGTCTCCCTCTTTCCCCATCTCCTTGCCCGCTCCTCCCTTAGACTCCCCTCCAAAAGTCTTTCGGAAGCAGAAGCTACATCTCTAGGAATACACATCGGATATAAGTGATGCACATGATTTTCGGGGGCCTCTGCATCACGGTCAGTTTGAGCACGGAGAGTGCAGAGCACGGCTCTAGTGTGGATCTCAGACCAGGTACAATGGGACTAGTTATCGTAACAAAGTCTCAGTGCAAACCTGTGTTGTTTTACTCTTGGGTATCTGCCAAGTAAATGGAAGCCCCAAAGCAGACGGGGAGGTTGAAGGCTTACCTCATTCCTTCAGAAGCCAACTTATCCAAGTGAGGAGTATCCTCTGTTTCAGCCCAGTTGGCTCCAAGGTCCCCCCATCCAATATCATCTGCCAAAATGATTACAAAATTCGGTTTTTCATAACCTGTTCTCTTTTCTCCCAGAAAAGGATTGGAGAGATGATAGACAAGCCCAGTCAAGCAGCCAGCCAAAAGCAGCAGCGCTTTGAGGAACAGAGGGTCCATCATGCTTCTAGGAAAATGCCTCTTAAAATACTTGCATATGAATTAGTGTTCCTGCTCGATGCTTGTTAAGAGCTCCCTTCATTGTGATTCACATATTTAGCACCACTCATGACATCTCTGCTATTCTGCAAAGAAGTACGTTTTGCCTCTTCAGATAGTGCTCAAGAGTTATAACACATCAGCCAGCATTAATTTGGGATCGCTGGGCTACCAGCTGTGCCATAATCTGTCCTTTCTTTTCCAGTTGCAAACAGATGGCATGCTTCACCTCCACCCAGCTGAAGGATGAAACAGCAGTCTCTCAAACACTGATGCCTAGTGATTGTTGTTCTTTGCACATTTGCAGTTAACAGGATAACATTGTCTCAATGAGAAGATTACTTGATTTTCCCAAGTGTTTCTACAGCTTCTTTATCCTGGCTATGAGCTGTCAGAATCGAATCCACACTTTAGAAACTGCATAGGACCCAATCCTGGATGCCTGGAATTTAAGAGTTCGTATGTTCACAATGGAAATTTCTCCTTGGCTTCCCAAATGTTGTCCATGTCTTTAAAGAAGAAACACGGGTTGTAGTCGAGTCAGCAAACGTTCAGCGGCTCCTTGAATTCCACATGAGGGAAAACCTTCATATTACAGCACATTGTCCTCTGCAAGAAAAAACAAGAGACAATTAAAACCAGAAAGAGATTTCTTAGCCCCTACCCTGGTGAGCATAGGAACTGGTTTTCTATGCACGTTTCCTTTGCGTTGCATACAGAACTCATCAAATTGAAAGTTGCTCTAACTCACCAAATGGAAATAAAAGCCGTGCTTATTTCCCCTAACCGCCACATATCAAACATAGGAATTCTGAGTATAAATACAGCCAAGGATGACTTCTTTCTTTGCACTTAAATGCTGAAGGTCATGCTAAATGACACTAGAAAGGTAATTTTGCCTAGATTTGCAATGTGATCTTAGCTCTGACCTATCAACACTAGATCATGAGATGTTACTGATCTCCACTGAGGACAACACACAAGAATACACACAAGGATTTGTGTGTCAACTTGCTTACAAACATTAAGCTACATTACTGAAATGAAGTTTGTAAATTTAACTTTATTCTCATTGACCCATTCCTCAGTGTAGGCCCCACGGTGACACGTTTACTCAGGCAAAACAACATTTTACAACATGAACGGTCTTGTGAAAAATCAAAGGAACTACCCATGAAGTCCACTTCTAATAAGGGAATCAGAAACTGGACCCCAGAAACCACCACTAAGCACAGCAATGATCAGGGACAACTGGGCTGGTCAGGCAAGGGCGAAGCAATTTTGCTCATATATTCTCGCTGGAGTCAAATGCACTTGCCTAGTTGTAGCTGAGGACAGGACTCCTATAACCATGTGGGTAAGAAAGCAAATAAGGAAGAACTAAGACAATACATGCCCACAGGTCTGACAACAAGAGCTGATCTGAGAGGCATTCAGAAGAATAATATCTTCACTAGAACGTTAAGAATTAACTAACTAACGAACCAAGATTCACACACACAAAAAAGAAGCTTGAATAATAGCTTGAATGTTGTGAGACAGGAAGAACCAACGTTGATGACTGTAGAAGGAAGCGGATACAATTTACAGGGCGTTGGTCTATTTATACAATGCCATCAGCAGGAGCCTAATCTACAAGGACAACGAGAATCATATCAGAGGGTACGGCACATGAGTGGGCAAAGACCTGCCTTGAATATTGAACAGGCTAACTATTGTAAGTATGAGCAGCTTGGAGCGGAGGGCGCAGGCTAGCTGAGTCCAGCTAGGACCAGTATTGTGACAGATGTTTCCAGTTGTGTATCAATGACCTTGAGAAAAGAATGTGCAGCTGATGATACAAAGCTTGCGGGTCAGTCAACCCAACTGAGGAGAGCAGGAGCATTCGGAGTGACCCAGATAAACTGAGAAGATGAGTAAATAAAGGAATAATCAAAAACAAAGGAGACAGTGAGGTGCGGGGAGAAAGAAGAAAAAACACAACGAGCACCATCTGTAGGCCAAGCACTTGGCAGCTGCCATAGGCCATAATTCATAATCTCCCATTCAAATCCATTATTAAATTAAAAAACCTTAGGGTTTCAGAGCTGCAGCTCCTTTTAAGGATCCTAACCGAGCACAATAATAATTCATAAAAAATACATAACACTTAATAATTAACAACCTGGAGCCATTATTTAAAAGCTTTTGCCTGAGGATTTCAAAACTTTTCACAGACGTTAATTAACTGAGCATGGGAGGTAGAGAAAGGGCTCACAGACGGCAGAGCTGGAACAGAGGGAGGTCAAAGATCTCTCTGTGACTCGAGAGCAAGTCAGTGGCCAAGACGGGAGGAGAAGGCAGCAGTCCTGACTTCCACGCTCATGTTCAAACCACTATAACCACAGCCACTGCCTGCCTCATGCATTACACCTCAAAAGAGCCCAAATCAGCTAGATAAAAAAACCATTCCCATCCAATCTATTTCCTAACATCATTCCCATTGGGAAGAGGCTGCCTTGTGAGGCTGAACTCCTTTAGAGGTGCAACAGTAGCAGTAATAGTTTAAAATGACTAGGGCCTGGGCATGTCATGTTCATTAATGCACCGTAATGATGGCACATTAAGTTTAGTATCTGCAAATTAATGGTTTTTAGGTGACGCTAATGCACAGTAGATTAATTCTGCGTGTTAGCACGGTTTTGGCCAGCCACACTAATGCGCAGTAGAATTAGTCCACTGCGACGTTAGTGTCCCGTGTAGACGCGCCCCCTGGGGGCTGCTTTGGGTCCACATGGAGTGAGGTGGCAGTTCCCTTCCAGTCACTAATGACAGGTTGGAGTCCACCATGCAAAGAACAAGTGATGCCCTCCTCCAGATCCTGACCTCATTTGCACTGGTGTAAACGCAGGGTAAATCTACTCACTTGGGTAGAGTGGCCCTGGGCTGCCGTCAGTGTAACAGAGACCACAGTTCTGCCTCTTAACTCATCTGAAGGGCTAAAGATCACATAGGCAAAGAGACTCAGCTCCCCTAGCACCTGTGGGTCTTCCTGAAGGTGTTACCAGCGGTAGCACATTGGCAGGATAACGCTGAGGGAAGTTAGCATCCATGCTGCCCATGATACACCTGATCTGCGGGTAGGAGTGACCGCTCCAAAGCACTAAGCCGATCACCTTCTGTGCAGCTCGTAGCATTAGGTGTAACAAGGCCCTGAGATCCCAGCATTTCCAAGGCCGCAATCTGGGGTATGCAGAGAAGTATCTTAGGGGATGGCTCTGGAAGGGAAAAGGGCCAGGAAGACTCACAGAGGAGTACTTTGAAGAATAAGCAAGGTAAGGAGGTGTCAAAGGTATGTGCAGGATGCAAAGGATCAGGGAGAGAGAAGCGTATATGGATTTAGGGCAGGGAAGCAGGCAAAGATCAGCAGGGCCCCTGAATCAACCACAGCATCTCATCCCTACCCACTCTAAACTGCTGCAGCCAGGCAACGCTCTCCCACTCCACAAAGCAGCACCGCAGATTTCCACCATCAGACACCTTTACTGGCTTCTGAACAACTCCTGCCTCCCGGCCTTCTGCATGCCATAGGGTCTACTGAGTATCAGTTCAATATGGTTATATCCTCTCTCATGGCACGAGCTCTTACCTGATGCACTGGGTAGTTTGGATGGTATTTTCCATCCGGGTCCCGATCCTGATGCTCACTCACTGCAAAAGGATCCCAGTTGCCCACACAGGTCATATTCACTTCAATGAGCACACAGGTCTGCCCTCGGGGGGGCAATGGGGCTCCAGTGTCTACCTACCCAAAGTGCCTTGTGGGATTGGGATCCTAGTGTCCTCCTGCTGTGCAGATCTCTGTGCACAGAGCCTCTGGGGCAAACACGCTCCTGTCTTCTCACACAAAGAGGGCAGCAGTTTGCAAGCAAAGTGGCATTTAGTGTCAGGAAATGGAGCCTAAGCCATGGTTCAGAGCAATAACCAGCAAAAATGTTCCCCTTCTGTGCTCCAAGGGTGCAAAACAGGTGGCTGCACTCTCCGCTTGCAGTGCCCAAGCAAGGTATCACTTTTTAAATGTAAATATGAAAAATAAACCCTGCTGCTTGGATACTGTCTGCTAATAAAGGACTCGTGTATTTGCCTGGCAAGTCTGATCTGGCGCCAGTGATGTACCATAATAACATGCTGCCACACCTCTGCCATGCCAAACTAACCAATCAATCGGATATCAGAGAGTCAGCCTGGATGTTTGGCAGAGTTTCTATTCATTTTGCGGAGGCAAGTGGGTAGAACATGACTAACAGAAACAATCCACACCATCTTCAAAGGACATTGTCTTCCCTTGAATTTGAAAAAGGGGAAGTCATTTGAGGCCTACGTTTGTGCGGTGGGGTCTGACAAAATATCTCGATTCTCAGAGCCCTCAAAAGCCAAAATGCAGAATAAGGTCCCCAGAAACCTCCCCAAGACAACACAGCAGATCACTTATGTCAAGTTCTCCTTTCCCAGTCTGTGACAGTCATCCTGAACAAGTCCTCTAGATCCAAACTTAGCAAAGCACTTAAGCCCATGCACTTTGCATTGTCTTTAGTGGGACACAAGCAGAGAAACCTAAGACACAGAAGTGGAAGGGGTCTCTTCAGTCACTGAGTCTAGTTCCCTGCAATTGCAGCAACTACGTCATATCATCTCCTTGATAAATGTGTCAAAGCAATTTGCATGTGCTTAAGATCCTTTAATATGAGTGAACTTAAGCCAGGCATTGCTGATTGGGGCCTCAGCTGCAAAAACAGTTCTTCAGGATCAGAGGGACGAGTCATCCATTCACAAAGCTTTGTTGCGCTCAGCTTATGGTGGCAACGGTACAACTGCAACCTGGGAAAGCCACCTGGAAAAACTCCTTCAAATATTTCAGTCTCCAAGGAATGAAACTTAGCTCCCTTCAAACAAGGCCAGGGCAGAAAGGAAACAGTTTGCATTTCAATGAGCCTGCTGCCAGAAACACAACGGGCAGATCAGACCCATGGGCCTATGTCCAATTAAAGCCACATCCCTTATGTAGGGTATTTCCAGCGCGCAGAAAATGCTGTTTCACGGCGTCTCAAAAACAGTGGACTTTACATATCATCACATAAATGGGTCCAAGACAGCTCTCAGAGTACCACGGTCACAATGGGTTATGGTTGGCATCCTCCCTCTTGCTAGAGCTAGACTCTGCCTTTATCCTGAAACCTTAGCCTGGACTCCCTGCTCAGCCACCCGCTCTTACAGCTTCACCTGCAGAATATCCGTTCCAATCCTTTGGCTCTCTTTCCTCAGGAAGTCTTGGCTTTTTAGGTTCCTGATAACTGATAAAAAACAACCTGGCTCAATGCCGGCTTCAGTCAACAAACTAGCCCTGCTTTTCCATTCAGGTTTCCCCTACTTTTGCATTCGTCTTAAAATTACTTGCCACTCTGACACCAGCAAGTAAAAGATGCGCTCACTAAAACATCAGGGGCTGGGCTGTACCCTCGGTACTGCTAGTGACACTGCACTGATGCTACTACACTAGCAAGAATGATACTTATTCATGCAAATGTTACCATAGGGTCCTAAAATTTGGTATTCATTTAGCTCAGTGTCACTGCAATCTGCAACCGCAACTTCATTGAATTCTGGGTGTGACAGCTGGCAGAATCGAGACAGGGCTGTCTTCATATGGTTGAACTTGCTTAATGTGGTACAACTGATACAACAGCATACCATCCTGTGCAGGTTTGCATAATATCCAAAAGCTGGGTATTGTCACACAAGGGAAGTGACTGGGCAGCTGCCATCCGAACAAGCTGAGTGTATGCCTTAAGCAGCTGCGGAGCTTGGGTGCTACCGCACAATTCAGAGACAGGGCAGAGGGCCTTAAGGTGGGAATTATGAGCACACCTCTATCCAGCATCCTACAGCTTCTGTTAGGAGAGACCAATACTATTCATGAAGCAGTCATCTGCACAGTGCTACTTGCTGGTAAATCAGTGGTTCTCAACCCGTGGTCTGCATGAGGCGCAATCAGCACATTGCTACGGCTCATGTGGCAACCTGTTAAAAAAAAAAAAAAGGAACAACATTTGACAGTGTAGAAATGAGAGGTACTACAGAATATTGATCTGTCTTGCATTACTGTCAGATAATGGATACAAAGCATTTTTAAATGGATATGCAGGTAGTTGTGTGGGTGCGGCCCGCATAACACATTGGGAGCTGCAAGCATAGTCCACTGTGGCAAAGAGGTTGAAAACCGCTGCACTAAATGAACACTTGGCTGCTACAAAATCATATTCTCCCCCTTACCGATGGAGGCTTTTTTGTGATGTGACTAATTAATGGGCATGGTAAAGCAAATCTAGGCAGGACGGGGATGGAGGGAGGGGAAAGCAGTAAAATGTGTGCTTTATCTTTTCCTTGCACTGTACCTCAAAGACACCTGCAGTAGTTTACTGCGGGGAGTCTGAGTCTTTGGGCTGCTATGAGCTCATGTCTTCACACTTCCAGGCTGGCCTTGAGAAAGGGGCCAGCAGCCAGAACCGTCACCGGCAAGGTCACCCCTTTGAAGTTTTTCCCTCCTCTGTCAGCCAGAGAAGAATGTGCCCATTTCTTAGCACATGGAGAGTCTTACTAAGCGAGTCCCTGATGTCACCCCTGAAAACCTAAACGATGCCACATCCCCACTGCTGAAACCCTGAGCAGCATCCATGGCTGCAGAGCACATGAAGCAGCAGCCCCAGAGAGGGCTGGAACCAGAGGGGTCCGGGGTACTCCCATCAACTGCAAACTCCCATCATAAATGAAGCAAAGCCTCTCTAGATGCCCTGATTGCAGGGAAAGCCTCTAACGTGCGCAGAAGGTAACTCATGCTAAAGCCGCAAACAATAGTGTAAACCGCGCTGTCCAGCCCAATGAGGTGGTAATTGAGATGGTGAGTTATGATAACTTAATTTTTAACGCCGCTAATTATTTCACTGCTGATCAAAGCGTGTAAGAAAGGGAGGGTGGGTCATATGTCAATCTGCACCAGCTTCTGGGAGTGGCAGCTCCTGGGGTGTGCCAGGACCTGCTGATAACCAGCCGTTTTTATTTTCAAATTGACCTTGCACCATTTCGTGTTGTGCTTTGATGAAGCCATTGCAAAGGGCAGTTGACGCCTGGTGGAAAAATCTGTGTCGGTGCTAATTTACGTCCTGTCCCTGTCTGGGCCTTGCCTGCCCTTGACTGGCAGAGCTACAAGTCAACACGGCTCCCAGTAGGGAGACAGCTAATTCCAGCACACGAGTTTTCCTGCCAGTGTTGCTTCAACTTTCTCCATGCAAAATAAATCACGCCAATAAATGAGCTTTTTTTTTTTTTACCCATATAAATGTCTCTAACCTGGGGCTCTTGCCAGCATAGCATAGCTTTATCAGTGAAGGGATAGGTTTTTTTCCACCTTCCTAAATGACATCTGTGACAGACAACTGTTCAAGGGTCAGGAGAACAGACCTAACATCTGATGTGTCTGAAGCACCAAAGTAGGGCATGAAGTACCGACCTGAAACACCACTAGGAAGACTAGTGTTCCTAGTGACTAGGAAGAAGTGGTCCCCCCTGTGGGGTTACAACCAGCGGTCCCCGACAAGAGCATTGAGGCACAGGGCAGGGTGGGATGAGTCAGTGAAGCTGCTCTACCATAAAAACCATTTCCAGTCAACCCTCCTTTCCTTCCAACTCCATCCCACGATATAGCGGGTGCAGAAGCCTGCTCCCTCCGAGGCTCCTGCAGAACAACCTTCTTCCTCGCCCACTCTGCAGCTACAAATACCGTTTCCCATCCCTGGGGATGTTTCTTTACTCCATGAAGTGTGGCCAGTTTGCATGCACAGCGCCACACAACATTTAAAAAGCCTTATCTGCAAGAGAACTGTCAGAAAAAGCAACTGGTGAGCCAGAAAGAGGGAGGCAGATGTGCAAGGGAAAAGAGGGAAGGAGAAATGGGCAAGCATGGCAAAGAAAGGCACAACCACCCAGGACTCTTAATATGCCCAAAGGAAAAGTTTCAATCCTATATTCTTCCTTTTTTCTTTTATACAAAGGACATGTGCCATCTCCTTTCTCCATGATCTATTTATGCCATAAATCTCTTCTGAGCCCTCATAACCATTTGCATTGCAACCAACAGGGAGCATGGCAATTTCAGGGAGAGGATGGGGCAAGGATTATGTAAAGGGGCCAGTGTGACCCATTAAGGCCAGAGAAGACGGTGTGCCAGGCTGTTTACCCCATGCCATGTGCCCAAGGAGGCAGATTGCTTGAAATAGGACAACTGCTAGGAGAACAAAAGGAGGATTCCCAGGAGTTTGTCTCAGACCAAGAAGAGATGAAGACCACTGCTCTGGAAGCCTTGTAGAGAGAGAACGATAAAGCTCCCTTCTCTTCCATCTGGTTCAGGTAGATATTTGGGGTGATTAGACTCACCTGAAGAAGGGATAAAAGCAACTGGGCAGGTGACCTGAAAAGAAGTGACCTGGTGTCCTTGCCTTTATACAAGAGGACTGGCCATTGCAGGCTCCTAAGCCAAGGAGCAGAGGCAGCAGTGTGGGGTGAGGGAGTCCTGGGTTGGGGAAGTCAGGGGAGAAAACAACCAGTCCTAGAAAAGGAGGGAGCTTGCTTGACCTGTGCCCCCGGACCCATAGGGAAAGGGACAAGTGGGTAGAAGAGCTTTTCTTGGGGAAACAGATTGAGGACAGTAGGCCCTGAAGAGGGGAGAAGGCTGGTTTCAAACTCTGAAGTGGGAGTGTGCATCCTCCGAGAGCCAGGAGACAAACTGCAGCAGGCGACCCCCCGAGTCGTCCAGTGAACTCGGGAATATGCCCCGAGATGTCGAGTGAAACGAATAGCTCTGCCTGGTGATGTCCAGCAGGAGTCTTGCCTCACCTGTCAGCTGGAAGTTTACAGGAGTTGCATTAGAGGTGCCCACAAGTGTCAAAGTAAGTTCAGGCAGAAATGGTCTTCCAGGAGTTTGTGGCCGGCCATTACTCCTGGTTTTCCCCACGGGTGCCCTGGGGAACGGTTGCTCACCGAGCCCCTGACATACTCCCCTCGTGTAGCATTAAGCTGCTACCAGGTCCCCTCTCAGCCTTCTTTTCCCCAGGCTGAAGAGTCCCAGGTCCCTCAGCCTTTCCTTGTATGGCTTGCTGTGCAAGTCTCTGATCATACGGGACTCTCTCAAGCTTTTCCACGTCCTTGTTAAAGTGCAACACCCAGAACTGGACACAGTCCTCCAGCTGCGGTCTCACCAATGTAGAGCTATAAACAAGAAATCCCTTTAAAATCCGCTGACTTCCATTCAAATTAAGGGAACTATTTTTGCGTTTGTGCGTTTTATCAGAATGGCAATGTGGCAAGCGTCCCCACGTCCAGGAGAGCAAAGCAGAGCGGGTTTTAGGCACAGGCTGAACCAGGTGCAAGTGTCCACAGTGCACAAGCACAGGAGGGCAAGTGTCGAGAGTGCACAAGTCCAGGAGGGCAAAGGAAACAGGGTTTTAGATGCCTTTTAAAATCTGTCGGCACTTTCAAATTAAGGCAACTATTTCTGCGCTCAGGCTTTTTTATCAGCATGGCAACGTGGCAAGTGTCCACAGCGCACAAGTCCAGGAGGGCAAAGAAAACAGAGTTTTAGGCACCCTTTAAAATCTGTTGAGTCCCATTCAAATTAAGGCACCTACTTCTGCACTCAGGCTTTTTCATCAGCATGGCAATGTGGCAAGCGCCAAGAGTGCACAAGCACAGGAGGGCAAAGAAAACAGGCTTTTAGACACCCTTTAAAAACTGCTGACTCCCATTTAAATGAAGGCACCTATTTTTGTGTTTGGGCTTTTTTATCAGCAGGCAGCGTGGCAAGTGTCCCAAGTCCAGGAGAGCAAAGCAGAGCGAGTTTTAGGCACAGGCTGAACCAGGTGCAAGTGTCCACAGTGCACAAGCACAGGAGGGCAAAGACAACAGGCGTTCAGGCACCCTGTAAAATCTGTTGATTCTCATTCAAATTAAGGCAACTATTTCTGCACTTGGGCTTTTTATCAGCATGGCAATGTGGCAAGTGTCCACAGTGCACAAGTCCAGGATGGCAAAGGAAACAGGGTTTTAGGCACCCTTTAAAATCTGTCAAGTCACATTCAAATGCAGGCAGCTATTTCTGTGTTCGGGCTTTTTATCAGCACGGCAGCCTGGCAAGTGTCGAGAGTGCACAAGCACAGGAGGGCAAGTGTCGAGAGTGCACAAGTCCAGGGGGGCAAAGGAAACAGGGTTTTAGATGCCTTTTAAAATCTGTCAGCACTTTCAAATGAATGCAACTATTTCTGCGCTCAGGCTTTTTTCCAGCATGGCTGATAAAGTCCAGGATGGCAAAGGAAACAGGGCTTTAGGCACCCTTTTACTCTCATTCAAATTAAGTCAACTATTTCTGTGCTCAGGCTTTTTTATCAGCATGGCAACGTGGCAAGTGTCCACAGCGCACAAGTCCAGGAGGGCAAAGGAAACAGGGTTTTAGACCCCCTTTTACTCTCATTCAAATTAAGGCAACTATTTCTGCACTTGGGTTTTTTTTATCAGCATGGCAAGTGTCGAGGGTGCACCCGTCCGGGAGGGCGAAGAAGACGGGGGTACGATGTCGAGCCCCCCTGGCGCGCTGGGGCCGGGCGTGCACACGTGCGGGGCGGCGCGGGCCCCGCTCCTCCCCCGGCGGGCGGGCGGGCG